TCCTTAAGAGTATGGGAGATATTTGTGTACATCTTAAGTTTTTATATTATATATGAGAAAAATTTAGTTCTTACTTGAAAGAGTGGCAAAGTTTAAGTAAAAAGCAGTTAGTACGCCTCTCAACAGTTCTGCTAAAGCTTCTCTGGCAGTCATGCAGTTTAGGAAATAAACAGAAAGAGTAAAAACCTGATTTTCAAAAATGTCCTCTTGCATTTCCTTCCACATTTCTAATTCCAGTGCTGCTTTGTATTCAAGAGTTTCTCGAGGTTCTGGATGGTTTTCTGGGGCACAACGAGGCTGAGTGTTAGGGACATGCCGCTGTTGACCAGCACCTATGCACTGATATAAGAAGAGTGGATTTTTAACTGGAAACCCAACTTTTCAAAGAACTGTTCAAGGAAAAAGGGTAAGATTTATGTAAAATTTACTTGAGAAGAATCTGACACCAGAACTTCTTGCATTTTCACAAGCCCGTAGTCTTCCAAAGTGATAGCATACGAAAGCTCTGCTATTCTGTTGCCTGACCTATAAACAGCATTAGAATGTTATTTTAATGAAAACTGTCTTAAAAATACAGGAAGCGATTTGTAAGACAACACACAAAACAGTGAAGTTGAAGTGCTAAAAGGTTCCATGTAAGCTCTGAGATTCTAAACAGTTGCCTACGTTGAGAGCCCAAACATGCTCTGCCATGTATATTTTTTTAACTTAGGAACTTACTTATATATCTACAGTAAGCTTTCTGACTTCAACAGATAACTTGCCATTGGGAACCTATTTAACTAACAGCTTGCTGTAATATATACATCCCTGTGACAAGAGAATGATCCAAAGTTGTACCTGCAGTCTTAAATCTAACAAATACACCTATTGAATACATTACATCACTGCTGACTTCGTTTTAAGATACTCAGTGAATTTCCTTAGCCTTGCTTTTTTCAATGTTAACAGTAAGTTTCTAGTTATCCACAGTATAATAAGTCACTTAGCAAGTCACTTGTGGTAAGCCATCCATTGATTACTAAGAAACACCTTTCTAGAAGCTTCAGAAGAAAGAACTGACAACTTGAAATCCACTTATAGGTTAAATATCTATCTGCTCTAGTACCATGAAAAAATGTCTAGATAACAGTATTTTAATGAACTAAGTTGTAGTTTCTAGTTTCTGCTTAAGTAGAACAGTGTCTCTGGCTGTGTCATCTCTAATCATAGATGAAATATAGTAGACAAAGGTAGTTTTCTGCACAGAAAGTTATTAAGAAGGGGCATATGCACAAACCATGTAACTGAAAGTTTTCACTAGTCTAACATGAAGGTACACTGCAGTGTAGACCTGTACATGGTCAGAAAAAACACTATTATTTGAGTTATAACTACTCAATGATGCAAAGGCAATTACACAATCACTTGAAGCCTGGAAGCTGTGGCAATAGATACCAAGCCATTTGCAACAAAAGGCTGCAGAATTAACACTGGTTGTAGTTTTCACAGAAATTCTCTTCCAGCAAATATAAAGAGACAACACTAAAATATTTTTTACACAGTTATTGGCAAGAAAAAAACTCCCAAATATTTATTTGGTTTGGGATTTTGTAGTTCATGTAACTTAACATAAATTACTGCATTACATTCTTACAACTTTTTACCAGTCACTGACTAAAAAACAAAACAAGATTCAAGGTAGTGGACCTTAGAGATGTGAGTAATTAAGTCAGTTTAACGTATCAGTGTAAAAAGAACATTACACCAACAAGGGCAAAGCCAGAGAGGTATAAGCACAGCAAAATGCAGACCTGATTACGTTCTGAGAGTGCCATCTAGTGGCTATTAAGTTTTGTGCAAAACCAGGTTTCATTTTAACAATCTTGCTATTGATGAAAGTGTGAACTTGAACGTACAGGGAGGTCATAAAGTAACTCTCCACAGAATCAGGGCATGCTGGCTTTCACACAGAAAAAAGTAAACAGTCAGAGATCAATTTCCTATCAACTGGGAAGTAGGAAGATATCAGTCTTCGTATCAGTAACCTGAAGTTTCCCGTGTGTCAAAAACAGCATGTTTTAATTATCTGTAGGATTAGAAGTTGAAAACCAACCTCAGTCTTAACAGCAATTGTATCTATTTCTAAAGGCATAAGCAATCTCCATTATCATACAGAAAAAGATAAGGGTCTAGACACTGATAGCTAGCACAGTTCACATCTTCAACAAGGTACAGGACAGAACCAACTCTAAATTAAGTTTCGTCATATACTTAAGAAGTAATGTCACCCCTCCATGAAAATGAACATTTACCTTCAGACAGAATATTAACTAGCAACACTGCTCCTTCTGATGTACACAAGCTCAAACCTCCACTACTACCACAGACTACCATCCTGAAATAGGAAACCTCTCCACTCTATGGATATATCTGTCCTTCTAACTTCACTGAAGTCAGCTGCATCTAAAAGCATACTATGGAGAGTCTTAACTATTTTGTAGAACATCAGCAACTTTTTGTAATTGTTAAGTTAACTTACTCAGGAAAGTGCCTCAATAACATTTTTTCACATTACTTATTTCTTTAATCTGTCTGTGAAGCATACCCAAGATCATGGTTGTATAAAGATTTATTACAATGACTCTGGTAGTGGTGTGGGGTTGCACAATATGCCTGTGGCAATTTAACTTTTACCCTCTTGGATGCCTACTCTCACCTCCATATTGCAGTACTCTGCAGCCTGTTGACCTATTCAAAAAGGTAAACAGGAAGAGCTTGCCCTTTTCCAGGGAAATGCTAAACAAACAGTTCTTCAAAATTTGCTACAGAGTAAGTAATTTTTTGAAATAGTTATACCCTTGCGCTGCTGTGACGCTGACTGTTTCATTACAAGTCTGACGCCAGCATTGTTCACCATTACCACCCAAGAATCGGGTTTTTTCTGAAGCCAAAACATTTGAAAGCTGAAGTCTCGCCACTCCTAGAAGCAAGTCTTTCGCTGTTTTATCCTTGTGCCATAATTCAACCAGCAGAGGTAATCTGAAACAAAGAAGTGATTTTAGTGTCAGAAATCAAGAGAAAAGAGGAAGCATTCCTATTAAATTGGGAAAAGGACCTAAAAGTAACTTTCCAAATCAGTGATGGCCATAATTCCCAAACAATGAGATGAGTTTACTGCATCTGACTCAGAGGAATGAGACTGACTGACTTTTTATCTTCTCCACCACCTATGCACTTTTGTCAGATTATCATTCCTGACTCCAAATATTAGAAAGGACAATGCTGCAGTCAAAGTGATTGAATAATCTCAACAGACCTAGATCATCTATAAATACCTATACATAAATTTTAGTCACTGCCACTCAGAATACCTCCACCTCTTCTTTCAAAATATCATATATCATATCATATCATATATCTTTCAAAATATATCATATATCAAGCTTAATCAGTTATTGAAAACTGGTAGTACTACTGGGAAAATGGTGCCAGAGTCCTCAGTGCTATACTCAGCTTCTTAAGTGCTTGCTGTATTTTCAAAGATACAGTCATCACGTATTAAAAATAAAGAACTTACCTATTCCATTTCAAGTAATATTTTGTTAAAATTATGCTATCAACCTCTAATTTAACAACTTACAGTAACAGCACTTGTTTCTGGAAGCAATGATCCCTATACAAGTACTCAAGAGATAGAAGTATGAATTTGAGAATCACTGTCTTTAAATGTGAGTGAGAACCTGGAAGAGCAGTGTATTAAATATTCATTGGCACTAGCACTTGAATTCTTTACTAAATTCTCAAACTGTTGATACTAACTAAAAAATTTGAACTTTGCAACAAAAAACAGAAAAACTGTAATTAAGATAAAGAGAATGCAAGTTACCACCTGAAGAATGTATCTCGAAGCTGATGAGGTATAGTTGCAAAGTCAAATGCACAGTAGGACTGTGGAAGAAAGACTTCCATGTTCTTCCTGACTTCTACAGGTGGGCTTGTCATAATAGGTGCTGCACTGCCAAAAAATGGATACGAGTACCTAATAAAAACAATAGCAAAAATAATCAAATAACACTTTTTTCTTATGCCTTCTGCAACAAGAAAACCAGTTTAGACTACTTTTACTGAAGCACGACATATTAAAGTTACCAAAATTTGCACAAGTACATCTAACAATAGATTTTAGTTCTCAAATACTCATATGTTCTCATTTATTTCAGCACTGATTCAGCTTCATTTATATTTTCTGTTATTTTAACAAAAAAGCTTTAATAACCTGTATGTTCACAACCATATGAATTAATCTTTAATTAAAATTCTGTGATTATTAATATAAAGTGAGCAGAGAAATAGAAGAAAGGAGTATTATATTCAGATATAGTTATAAATGTTCTCAAGTAGCAATCTACATTTATAACTAAGACTGGTCTGACATACAATAATTGATAGCTAAGTACACATATACACAGTGTCAGAACCATTTGAAAATTTCAGTCACATTTGAATTTGAATTCCCACAGTTTAGTTGACTAAAAGGAAAGTCAAATCACTTTACCAGTATGATTTACAACGTGGCCTGAAACTACTCTACTGGCACAATTGTATGATAAACTATAAAGAGCAGGCCAAGAACCTCTTGAACTTTGCTTTGCTCAAATTGATGATGCCAGCTGTCAGCAGTTACTAATAAAATAAATGTGTTATCAAATGCTGACACTTACAAAATTCCATACTTAACTGCTTGTGCAAAGTTGTTTGAAGAGCTTGTTTAGTCCTGAATGAAATAGTGCTCCCAATATACAGAGAAAAAGTAATTTTTTACCCTGCAAATTTTCTTAGCATTTATGTATTTGGATGTTTTTATCTTTCAGTTTCTTTCCATATTCATCACTGACTGTAGTAACTGAAGCACATGAAACAGCAAAACCTATCTGTTGTCACTGTTCTGAAGAAAGTTATGTTTTTTAATGTTATGTAAAAAAGCTTTTACATGACAAAATTCCATCCATTGCCCATTGTTTTCCACATACTATTTTATAATATTGCCTATACAGAAAACCAGTAGTGATGCAGTCTATACTAGTTGTTTTAAAATATTCCCAACCCCACCGTTTCACCCCAGTTCAAAGAAAGTTTAAACTCCAAGAATCATCAACACAAATAGACTTCCCAGTGACCAGTTAAAACTGTATCAAACCAAATTCTGTCAGAACAACAAATCCAAAGCAAATGCAGATGCACCTCCACAGCCACAAATATTCAACCCTTTCAAACCACACCACCATTTAAGATATGCTTCATGATGTGCACCGAAAGGGCCCTAATGGAAACCAAAAGGCAAACTGTAAAAACTTCTGTAAACCACTATGAACCACACATAAGCCATCAGTAACTATTATTGCACGAGTAGGATTTCTTTTTTTTTTTTTTCCCCAACTAAATTGTCACTGTATCTATGAACTCTTGGTTCTAAACTCTAAGGAAAACCTAAACCAAAACACAGTTCAAAGAAGAGAGTTTCTCTCTTCACTGGCAACATTACAAAAGCCAACCAAATCCCAACATGCATACTCGTTTCAATACCCTTACTGTTAATTGGTCCTCTACCTTTTTAGTTCTTATACCTCCAACTTAGCATTCACCTCCCAGCTAACATCTGCTTATCCTCCAGAAGTGCTCCCATGCTTTTTTTTCATGTTGACATGAGTAGCAAACTAATCTCTAAGCAATTGTTCCAAACTAGTACTGGCAGTTTTCAACTTTTGCTTCAGGCACAAAACTCACGTATCCTTGCCTTTTTTGTAACTCCATAAATGAACGTAACAGAAGATGCTATTTCTCCCTACTAAGCTTTGGTTCTTGTATGCACAGACTATAAAAGAAACCCTGATACTAACTGTAAGAATGATAATGCATTTACTACATTGGTTTTTCATTTTAAGACTAGAATGTGCTTCCTTTAGATTCACTGTCACACACAAACCAGGTGACCTGTCTCTTACTAAAACACTATGAGGAGTTCTTGAGGGAGACATGGAAAGCTACAGAAATCACTTCTTCAATCAGTTGAAAACGTAGCCAGAAAATAAGGAGACAAATAATCCTCGTTCTCATCTATGGACTGAATGCTGATCTGTGTTATCTGAGCTCAGATATTCAACTGAGATTTAATACAAATTACAGCACAGGTGAAGTGTTATATACTATCCTTAATGCTGTAATGCTCAGAAGTTCAGTGAGAAGTCAGATGAACATTCTAAGGTATTTTGTTACTGAAAAATCAGCTGCATAAAAGGCGTCACGGAGCATACTGCCAGCAATCATTCAAATTATGAAAGCTTTGCATTAGAAACCTATTGTTATTACCAAGAATAAGATCAACAAAAAATATTGTACCTTAAAATGCAATTTATTGGAAAACCAACTTCCAGACCACGTACACTTCGTAAGTCTATTGAAAAGCAAAAATGGTGAGAGGCTGCTGGAATGACAATTTTCTGTGCTGACACAGGCTCAGAAGAACTAGATGCACCCACAGGATTGGGTTGAGATGCAGCTACTGGACCATCGTCAGCTGAAAACACAGAAGATAATTTGTGCACATTTTAAATAATCTGTTCTGCCCAAAATAACAAAATATATTAAAGATCAGTCTCACATTTTAAATGCAATTAGAGATAGGTTGCTTCCCCAAGAGATTCAACTCCTTTTAATATAACCTAATACAATGAAACATAGCCACTTTATTTGTAAATTACTGCTTCCAAAGAAAAAACACCAAAAATCTGAATATACTGTAAGTCTTCTAAAAATAGTGTGTAGTATTTTTATTTTTTTATTTATCTCCAAAGTTATGTAGGTTTATGTCACTGAAGAAAATTTTAGACTAAGATCCAAGGTATTAAATTCTTCACAGGGATGCTATAAGACTTCTGGTTTACATAATTGCTCCTAGCCAATTTGAGGGCATGCAGAAGAGGTGGGCTTACAAAAAAAAAAATTTTAGTAACTTAGTTGCCTTTTAATTAACTAACCTCTTTAGTTTGGGACTGAAAAAGAGAGAGCACAAGGTCAATTACAGAGCTTATGGAAGGCGCATCAACTATTGGTCCCAAGCAGAAGTTTAGCTATTGAAATGAACTAAAAAGCCCTAGCTAAGTCTGTAAAGTACATCTGCTTATGCCCTTTGATCAAAACCCACCTACTCTGACACCCATTTTATAATTTAGGAAGCAGAACCTACTGCTTGAACATGCCTGTTCAATTGCATCCAGGCTTCTCAAGTCCTTACACAGTGACCCAACACTGCCTTCAAGGAGTAACAGATCAAACTACAAGCTTTACAGATAGAGTCTCCAAAAGGCATCCTCCAAAAATGTTTGAGATAGTAAAGCAGAGAAAGAGGCAAAGGAACTGTCAGAAAGACTCAACTGCCTTTGTAAGTGTTCGTTGTTCTGATACTCATTCTTCATAATTATCTAAAATGTTTCCATTTTTATTATTTTTAAAGAAATGTATCACTGCTAGCATTTACTTAATTTTTTTCCTGCTTCTTCAAGTGTTTTATTTACATTAACAGTAACAGTACAAAAAAGAAAAATTCAGTAACACTTCGTCACCAGGTAGTCAACAGAACATAGGAATGAAATAATTTTCAGCCATTCAGGTAAAATGTCACTGATTGCTTGGTGCAATGGAATGACTGAGTAGAAGTTTAAGGCTGTCACAAACAAGAGAACATAAAATTGCATACAGCATACTGTTAAAATTCATTTCAGTTGCTACTATATTCAAATTTCAGTGTACTACTTTTCATACATTTTTCATTACTGGAATTTTGAAGATCCGGCAATAGAGGTGACTTTGCTCTGCTCTGCGATTTGAAAACTGGAAGTTCTTCAGCATACTGTTTGTTAACCTGTTGGCAAGACTCAGCCACCAGCCCTGAAAGATAGATGTGAAATGACATGTTTTACATCTTGCCAAAACGACGAATTATAAACTTATTATTACTATTAATAAAAAAAGCACAATCCTAGATTTCTTAACTCCAGATTCAAACTAGTTGCTGGCTTCACAATACTTCTTGATACATTCTATATAAAGGACTTAATCCTTGCTTATGTAAGACCAGTTTGGATTAAAAGAAAATTTGGCTGAATTAACAGACAAATCCTAAAAGCATGTTCTAGGACACAGATCTTCCTCTACAGGACTGGGTGTCTTTAGGACCAATCTCAAAAGAATAGTAATTCATATCGCATTAGAAAAATAATCATTCTGCTTTATTCATAAGTCATCTCCTAAGATTGTATGTTCAGTAATGTTTAGCAAACTAACATTATTTCTTCCGAGCTTTACTCTATCATTGTAATATTTCTTCCTCTCTCATTTCTGTTCAACTTCTCCACAACCCAATCCTCATATAAAAAACAAAATAAGGGAAGTCTTACAAGGCTACATGGGCTACCAAGTCCCTGCAAAAGGTTAACGTAAAAATAAACAAAAAACAGTTTCTTGGTTTTGCCTAGGAATCTGTACAGTATGAACATTTGTTTTCACAATTTATTATCCACACAGTAAATTCCTTAGAAATCTTAAAAATCCCACATTTCCCCTTCCTTTCTATTTAATAAATGTGAACATTAGACCATTTCATCTCATCACTAAGCAAGTCAGTTTCTTCACAGCTATTGTACTGATCCTTCACATTGAGAAACAACAACAGTAATGTTTGGAATTCCCTGAATTTGACAATCTGATGACCATAAGTGTCACTTGTAACCTATATACCACCAAATCTCCAGTCTAAGTCTTACAAGTGTTTTCAACAACAATCACATTCAAGTTACATTTATTCTCCTCCTGTTACTTGTTCTATGTAAATTATAGAAGAGTTTGGGTTCGAAGGGACCCTTAAAGATCATCTAGTCCAAGCCCCCTGCAATAAGCAGGGACATTTTCAACTAGATCAGGTTGCTCAGAGCCCTATCCAGCCTGACCTTGACTGTTTCCAGAGATGGGGCATCTACCACCCCTCTCGGCTTGCCTGCGATTTGTCACCACAGATGAGCAGTACATGATCCAAGACCACACAACAACTGGGAAAAAATTATATACCACATACCCCTTTTCTTTAGTTTTGTGCCTTTTTCAGACTTAAGACTTTCTACTTCACTTTCTGTTGCTTCATCTTCTGTTGAAGAAGAGTGGTCAGCTTGAGATGGGACACTCTGGGATCTCTGCTGCAGGCTCTTTGTTTTTCCACTAATAGGTGAAAGAACTTTCTTCTGTGGCTGTTCAGGTTCAGTTGGAGTATTTAAGGGAATCAAAGGCTGAATGAAGTGATATAGTTTTCTTATTGATCATGGCTTGTACTGAAAATTTCTGTCTACAACAGTTTGAGATTATTTTCGTGACATAAAAAAATGAAGCAATGAAAGGATATTAATATAAAGCAACTTACCCTTTCACGTTTTCTTTTACATGTTTAACTGTCAAATATGATTTATATGATAAAGAAATACCTTTTTTTTTTTAAATGAAACTGCAACAGTGTCTAAACTAACAATAAACAAGTAAGCTATACCTGGGCACTCAAGCTCTCCCTTTGCAGAATTACAGATACCCCAACAGTAGGAGCCATATCCAAAGGCAACTGCGGCAGTTTCTGCTTAGCTCTATTGGGTGGAACAAGGACAAATGCTCCTTCTATTGTCACAGGATGTTGATCCATCTCCACATTTCCTTTCTTCATTAGTCCAGACAGGGGTATGTCAGTGCTTCCAAGAGACTGGTCCCCACAGCAAAGATGAATCTGTATATATACAAGAGTGCTAGAAAGTAACTGGCATGTGCATTTTCATTTGAACAGTCTGTTCACCTTCAACTAAAAGAAGCATAAATACAAGAAATTAAAATGATCATTCCTAATCTAGTCCCTGTATGCTGTAAACAAGTGTTTTGAGCAGTACTAGAAGAGCCATGAAGTCTCAGTATTAAGCAGGTAGGATTTGCCCAGTGCTAGCACAGCAGCAGATCACTGCACTGCCCTTCTGAGGGCCTGCCACATCATCCCTTCTAGAGGACAAATTCAACAGTCTGTAGCTTCTAACCACAGCACAAATTCTTCCCCTTAATATATAAGCACATAAAATGTGTGACTGCCAGGTAGAGAAGAAAAGTTACTTGAAAGCTCAGCCTTTGTGCATATATTTAGCCAGCACTTAAATAGCAAGGGTTTTTGGAATTAAGTAACTGTTCTTAATTCCTGGTAAGAATCATTATTCCTTTTTCAAAATTTGACTCTGTCTTCCTTCCACAGCTCAGTATTTATACACTCAAGTAAAAGATGGATTTTAAAAAACCCAACATACTCTAAGGTAATTTATTTTTCTCAATGAAACTTGTATACCAACTTGCTCTTTCCCAAGTAACAGTCACTTCTGTTCTGTTTTCGCAGATCAGAACACTGTATTCTAGCTCCTTAATATTTTTTACACTTAATGAAGACTTTAATGCTAAAAGGTGTCATCTGCCAATATACACACCGAGATGTGTATGTATGTACATACACACATATATACACACAAATATAATCATACACAATGTATCTAATACACACACCCCTAGTCTGGCAGCTAGCACCTTTTATGACTTGTAAGTCATCATTTTCAGAAAAATATTTGTTAAATATTAAGGATCAGAATACAATACTGATCCTGCATTCTTTATTTTAGGAAGCTGAGTGAGAAGTCAGAGAAAGGAAACTGTCAATCAAGATGTCGAGCTGACCTCACAACAACTATTGTTCAAAAAGTTTTCATTCAGGAATGTGACATGCATAATTCTTCGTTTGTGTACATATAGATAGGAAATATTTAACACTTTGTTTCAAGATCATAGACTAAGACTAAATTCCAAATACATCACCGCATATGTTTGTCCAAAAACTGTCATTAGAAAAATCTTTAAAGTTGAGACAAAAAAACCCCCTGAAACAATATAGATTTAAACAGAAATATTATTAAACCACCTGGATAACAAAACTAGAACTGTCTGTACAAGTTGAAAAAAATAACTTGAAAAGGGTCCAGATCCAAGACTTGCATGTATAATTAAGAGTCTTATTTACCAGCTGTGTTATTAGAAAACCTATAGTACCATCCTTATTAGAAACCCTATGCTACCCTCCACCAAATAGTCTCTTGTTTTGTAGTGAGTTAAGAATGAGCCAGATGCAGACTGCCATGAACACTTCCAATACTACCCAATATTTAGAATCGTCAAATCATTTAGGCAGGAAAAGACCCTTAAGATCATCAAGTCCAACCATAAAACTAACACTGCCAAGTCCACCCTAAACCACGCTCCCCATTTAAAGGCATAGCTAAAGATAAGCAGTATCCCTTAACAGCCCAAATATGGCTGTAGTGTATTTAAAAATAGTATTTGGCTAAGGAGTGGGGAAAAAAGCCAGACCTCCCTTATTATTCACAACGAGTTCTGAGAACAGTGATTTTAGAACTCAGGCAAGAGTAACCTGAGCAGCTGGTGTGGGTGAGGTTACAGGCAGCACAAAGCTGGACTGTAGGCTGCAGATGGTCTGATCGCAGAGCTGGTCTCAGAGCTCAGAGCTCTCGAGAATGCCACATCAGCTCTTTGGGAACACCATATTTCAGCAATACCTTTTATCATGACGTGTATGCAGATTATTATAGCGACCATACTAAAGAGACTGCACTCCATCTGAGCTGGGAAACTTGCAGCTAGGGTTTCCCTCATATCAGCAAGAGAAACAACTTATATTTGAGCCAAAAATACTGTCATACAATCTAGTTCTGGAAAGACAAATGCTCTCCAATTTCAGGTTGAGACTTATTCTATTCCTTTTATTTTGATCATTCATTTTCATTCACATTTGAGAAGAAACTGCTTACCTGCAATTTTGACTGTGCACAAAGATAAACTTGAAGGACATCAGCTGTACTACGTATTCGAACTGAAGCTCTTTCTGGTTCGAAGTTTGGATTAATTAAATCAGTGAAAGCTTCATTCGTGACATCATTTCCCAGTAATGAGTAGTAGAAAAAAAACTCAGGCTGTCGTTCAGGAAGCTTCATAGTACTAGGAACTAACTAAAAAAGATGCAGAAAAGAAGAACATATCTCTTTCGTTACAGTGACAGTAATCCTTAAGCATTAGCTTGGAAATTAAAGAGCTTAGTGTGACCTCAAGCTACCAAGCAGCTGACCTAAATCCTAGCTTGCATTACACAGGTAAAAGTAGAGAAAAGTTTTATATTAATACTCAAAAAAAAGTCTTACTTTACAAGCATACCAATAACTTGCAAACTGACCCATTTTGAATTGTTTTTAAGATTTATCAGCACCAAGGGCTCTAATGACATCATATATTCAATAAAGTTGAGCACTGCACAAATATTCAGAAATAAGCACTGCCTCCACAAATAATGTAAATAAATAATGAATATTAGATGCGGAGTTATACAATAACTTATGTGATTGAATAAGGCACTAGAATAGCCAGAAGCAGCTACCTCATCCTGTAGGCACTGCAACTGTGAGTTCAATGTCTAAAAAGGCACAAGCTATGCCAGAGTGATCACAGCAAATTTACTTTACAACGCCCTGCAATTCTGACATGGAAAATTAATTTCTCTGAAGAGAGATGACAAGACTGAGAATTTATCATGCACTATGAGTTTGTGATCAATTAAAATCATGCTGGCTTGCAGTTTTGACTTTCACAGTAACTTGGGTGTACCCGTATTTTTAAATCAGAAAATGTTTCATTAGTACAGTAAAGCATAAGCACTGCAGCTGAAGTGTAAAGCTGAAATAATCACATATAACATGCCACTTCATTCAAGCTAATAAGTCCTTCCCTTAAGCCACATATAAACTCTACCGTTTCATGTACCTTACAGATCTGAAGGTATTTCATCTTGTTGGAATGTCAGCACATGGGCATCACACTGAAGACTGATATTATCCACACACATACTTTTTATACTATATGGTAACATAAATGTACGCATTTCATAAGAGTGCATTACTTAAAGTAAATGCAATTTTAGTGTTCTGAGAGAATTCCCATCTTTCATCTGTAATTTGCCATGTAAGCACTACATAAAGTTTTAAAATTCAAATTAACATATTAATTCAATATGGGAACAAGGCTATTTACTGCAAGAAACTTACAGTCAATAAAAAAATTGTAACTAGAAATAGGCATGGGAGGGCAAAGATACAAATGTAGGATAGTACTTCTTTAAAACTACACATAGCAAGGAAACAAACCTGTTCCAACTGTGTGGCAAATGCAATGGTTACAGACAACACAAAGTATTCTTTGCAATACTCTGCTGGTCCAATTTGATGATAGCCCTCTTCTTCATTCAAGACTGGTACAATACTTTTAGGGTCTAGTCCAGAAAGAACGTCAGATGCTAAGAGAAAAGAAAAAAATTAACTTGTGACCTTAATTGTTGCAGGAATCTTATATATAATTGTAATTTTACCTTTAATTATTGTATGTGTGGCAAAAAATGACCAATAAAGATCCTGATGCTTGGTTCCAAAGCATTTCAACACAGAAAAAGTCCCTAAGTATACTTAGGTACAGCCACAAAAAACACTTCTGAAATTAATTTCTATTCAGTGGGCACAGATGTTATTTTGAACACTATCCTAGAAAGAATGCTAAAGCGTATTTTTATGTAATGTTACAGGGAGTAACATTATAGTGACTGGAATTTATTTCATTAGGTTAGAGTCTACCATGCTGTTTATTTTACTTATCAACGAAAATGCAAGACACTTAACTGTTCAGTTGTTGAAAGGATGTAGGATGTCTGTGGAGTGAGACCTTTGGAATCATTTAAGATTTTTCATCTTAAGCCTTCAGTCCATAAAATAATACTTGTCTTCTGGTTTACTAGTTTCTACTCTACAGTGCAAGTAATTCATACATTTCAAAGCACCTCAGGTTACACCAAACAGTAATAATCACACAGCACTTTTAGTTGTGAACCAAAAGGCTCTAATTCAAGTACTGTAAAGTTTTGACCACTTAGGTCAGTGAAGCAAAAAAAAAAAGGGATATGAATCCTACAAAGAAAAAAACTTTTCCTTAACTATCTGACTAGACCAGAACTGGGTAGTCTATCTCAGTCATACCAATGCTTGGAACATGAATTTTAAAATTGCAAAAATCCAGACTTTTTCCTCCATTGCCTAAATATGGTACTGACTAATCTTGAGAAGACAGAAGAAAAGGAAAAGCTGACTGTATTGAGTTTGTGTGGGAAGGTTTTGGTAGCATTGGGGCTGCAGAGGTGGCTTCTGTGAGTAGGTGCTAGAAGCTTCCCCTGTATCTGGTAGAGCCAACACCAGCCAGCTCCAAGACAGACCCACTGCCGGCCAAGGCTGAGCCCATCAGCAACGGTGGCAGCACCTCTGGGGGAGCAGAGTTAAGAAGTGGGGAAAAAACCTGTTGGCTGCAGCAACTGCAGCTGGAGAGAGGAGTGAGAA